CTAGCATCTGCAGTTCTTTTTTGTCTTTAACTCTGCAAACACATATAACTTGTGTTTACACAGTGCAGTTTAGAGTCAATGAAATATTTTGGACTGCAAAAAGAATATTTGATACTATGAGGCAGTATAGACTGTAGGGTTTAATCTATCCGATAATTCTTGGTATATGACATTAGTTTGGTGGAAATTCCAGGGCATTTTGTGGGGCAGTACTCAGGGTTTTTCAACATTTGTTTGCTGAGGAAATTACAGATGATGGGTGCATTGTGAATATCCAAGGATATGTCAGACCTAAGTTGGCAAGGAATTTACTATGACTAGGGCATGTGGTGCTACAGCTGGATATACTTTGGGAGAGAATGGGGGCTTGCAACATGGATTTGGCCCACAAGAACAGGGAATAGGCCATTTGGCCCTCAAGCCTGCTCTGTCATTTATGGTTGATCTGACTGTGGACTCAATTCTACTTTCCCGAGTACCCCCCCATAACCCTTGATTCTTTTGTGGATTAAACATCAAACTGAACATTGAATAAGTTTAATGACCTTGACTCCACCGCATTTGGGAAGACAAGTTCCACAGACTAACGACCCTCAGAAAACAAATCTCATCTTTATCTTAAATAGGTCTTTAAATGGTGTTCCCTAGAGTAGGTACTCAGAGGTTCTGTGGAGACTTTATTCTCTATTGATTATACTTGAAGAAATGCCATCACCATCAGAACATTTATCAGTGAGGCTGTTACTTTGTTTGGGATATCTAATTTTTGGGTGGACATCAACACACCACCTGGAAGGTGTGTCTGGGATGTTGTAGGGAGGAGATAAACAGGCAAGTGTTGCACCTCCTGCAATTGCATGGCAAGATGCCTTGAGAATGGGGGAGGAGTGGACCAGCATGTCCCAGAAGGAATGGCCCCTGTGGCATGCTGACAAAGGAGGGGAGGGGGAAGAAATGTCTGGGTGAAATCTCACCGAGATGGCAGAAATGAGGCTTATGATCCTTTGTCGCAGGATGGGAAACATTAACTCTGTTTTTCTCTCCACAGATGCTGCCAGACCTGTGTTTCTCCAGCACTCAGTTTGTTGTTTCATATCTCCAGCATCTGCAGTTTTGTTTTATTAACATGAAATATGAAGTCTTTCTTCGTTTTCTGTTTTTATTACTTTATTTTATTTTGTTTTACCTATATCCTTTTCAAATCTTTATTTACAAGCCTATTTTGAAGATCACTGTTACTTACATGTTCTCATATGCTCAGTTCCCCTGTCTGTTCTGTTTAATTTTTCATTATTAGCTACAATAGTGTTTGGTCACAGACTTATCATGAAGTCTTGCAACATTAAAATAAACCTAGCCCACCATCTCCACCACAGTAAATCTCAAGAAATGTGCAAGGAATCTACTGATCAGATTTGGACATTGCCCACACGGTGCAAACAACTTTGGACCCGGTTATGGCAAAGAGTTGCATTCTTTACACTAGCGTAAACGTGGATTTTTGGCTAATCTCTGCAGTCCTTCAAAGTCACAATCAAATGTTTCATGCATTATCGAGTGAGCATTTTCATTTTAGTTCTTTGGTCATTTCTCTTCAGCTTTTCTGTTTTTGTTATTTTAGCTTTCATTTTTTGAAGGCAGGTAAAAAGTAACAGTTACTGAGTGCTGACATTATGCAAAACAGAAAGTCTATTGGATCCAGCTAATCTGAAAAACTTGAGAAGCTTAATAATGTTTTTACTACAACATTTTGAATAATAATATATTACATTTATTAACTTTGTACATATAAAACATTAGTGGAGTTGATACTGAACAATTTGAACTGAGTCTGGTCCCACTCAGACAAATAGCAGAAAACTAAATAAAAACTGAAAGAACTGCGGGTGCTGTAACTCTGGCTTTACTACAGTTTTCTGTCAGGGCATCAAGTGCATTTTATACAGACTTGCATGCAGTCACAAACAAGGAGTTTTGTATCTCTGGTCCTCTCTGCAGGAACGGTAATGTAAGATCAGTCACTCAGGTATAGGATAGCAGGTTGACATCATAGGAACCATCCACCTGTGGATAGAATATACATAAAATATAGTGAGACTATTTCATCCTTCATATTCTGTTGGTGTCTTAATTCCTTGCCTTTCTAAACAAAAAATTTCAATAATCTCTCCTTATCTACCGAACTACAGTTCTACACGTTAATCCCCTTGCAGTATTTGCCCTGAGGCCCTACTTCTTATAAGGGTCTAAACTCCATTGAAGGAGATTTGCAGAGGTTATCAGAGCATATCTCCAATTCAACATCGACATGAAAGGACTTTCAGCAGGCCTTACTGGATAGTGATTTGGAACAATGTTTATAAGGACCTGCGCACTTAAATGATTCTGTCAAACACTACAAGAAGAATTAGAAGGTGTGCTGATCGGGAGTGAGAACATCTGATTTTCTTCCTTCATAGTCCAGAAATGTTGAGATAACTTGTAGCTGTCCTAAAGCAATATGTCAGCAGAGATTAGTTAACCCAGCACAGAATGAGGTTCACAGATCAGTGTCACATCAGATCATCACATTTCCCTCCGAGCTAGGGTTTACTTCTTTAAAAAAAAGTGTAGAAATGTGAGGCTGCATATTTAGACAAAGCAAATATGAATTCATCTGCATTATAAACTTTCATTTCCACTGTTCACTTTCTGTTTACCTGTTGTAAACATACATTGAGATGGTGAATACAGTACTTACATCAAACCGTCCAACCCGTGTGGTTGCTGGATTGTTCCGGACCATTTCAGTTAAAACCCACATCTGCTGAACACTGGAAGCTACAACCTCAGGATCCGGCAACCCCTGTGAAAGGATATTTATAGTTGAAATAGAATGAACAGCATGCAATGACTGCATCTTATCCTCCACATACATAATCTATTCTAGTAATACCTCTCACGCCATTTGATATTGACACGGTTCTTTATCACGGTTCCCCAGTTTAAAATGGACTCTTCTGACCTCTTCAAGTGTTGCCACTAACTCTCATTTTCCTGCTACGATGCCCTCATTCCCACAAGTTACACTGAACTGCCTTACCTCATGTACCATGGCAGCTGATGGAATTCATATATCTGGAATATAAAGCTCATTTCATTAATGGTGATTGTGACAACAACTGGTTCACTAATGTCCTTTATCTAGGGCTGACATGTGACTACAGACCCTTAGCAATGTGGTCGACTTTTATTTGCCCTCATTCAAAGGCGATCAGGGATGGGCAACAAATGCTGGCCTTGCAGTGACACACACACATCCCATGAAACAATTAAAATGGAAAAAAGAAGGTCCTGGAAAAGATTCTGACAGCATCCTTAACAACTGACTTTGGATTGCTTGAAACAATCCTTCCTGCTGCCATAGAAATGTCTAAAATAAAGATTGCACAAAAATCGAAGACCATCTCTATTTCTCATGTCTCAGTTAGTGGAAGAATAAAGCAGTGCTCAGGAGGTATTTGCAATTCTAGCTTGATGTTGATAGTGTTCTGCATGACCCTTAAAGTGAAGCAAAATCACCAAATCTCAGTTTTAAATGCTCCACCCCTGATTTTTAACACAGTGACCCAATTCTAGATGCTCCCATAAGAAACATCCTCTTTGCATCTTCCCTGTCAAGACCCCTCACGATTTTATACATTTTAATCAAGTCACCTCTCTCTATTCTAAATTCCAGTAGGTACAAGCATACCCCGTGCAACCTTTCCTCAAGACAAACCCTCAATTCCAGGTATTAATCTGTAAAACTTTTCTGCAATGCCTCCAATGCACTTACATCCTTCCTTTAATAATTTGACCAAAACTGTACACAGTACTCGAGTGGTCTCCGCAGTCATATTGAGTTCTATACAAGTTAGATGTCAGTTTCTGAATATTAATCCATCTGAAAATGAGTCCTACACCCTAAAAAAAACTGAGTAATTATGCTGCAAAAAGAGGCCATTTGTCCTATCATAAGAATCATTGCAGATTCAGATAACAGAAAAACAGGAGAAATATATTGGTAAACCCTAGGAGTACATAAAAAAAAATGCAAGTGAAAGAAATAAACAGCAGGGATTCAAGGATATTTGCATAGAGGAGAGACCTTTCAATTTCCAATGTTACATGGATGTGTTGTATTTCAAGCTGTAAAAGTCTGCATCATACTCACCTCACTTAAGTTCAAAGGTCGGTCTTGAGGAGTGAGTTGAGAAAGCCATGGTCCCTGTACCTTCTGCAAAGAGAAATCATTAAGTGCAACCTGAACATTAGAACGGTTACAATTTCCACATTAACATGTGCCATGTTATGAGTTGTCCCACAGGTTTTAAATATTTCCACACACCCGACTTGAGAGAGATGCTTAGTACTACTACTTACATCCTTATCACGGTCACGTTCATACATTTTGATGTCCTCTATTGTAAAGTTCAGCCAAACTGGAGATGGCTGCCGCAGGATCAGACGCACTGTCACTACACCATCAGGCTCAAACAGCATCTATGGTTAAAGCCCAATACAGAAAGTGTCAGTCAATTTAACAGCTTGCAAGCACCTGATAAAATCCCATTGTTTTATGCGCAGTAATTCCAGTAACATTGTGATCCAAACTGTGTGGTTTTAAATATTTGAATACCATTTATTTTTGGATTTTTGAATTTTGAACAAGTGACGTATCGATTTTCTGTGTATCTGAAGGAGTTTAATGACTAATTTGAAAGTATTTCTGTAGTCATGCTGTGTTTTAAAAAAAAACACTATTAGAGAGAAACTTCCTAGATCATTGCTTTCAAACAAAACAAAGATAGAAGATTGTGAAATTTTGAGGCATTTTGAAAACATCCATGGCTTGGGGAAAAAATGCTTTTTAGTTTCATTTCAGGAAAGTTTAAAGACATCTTGGCTGTTGCTGGATATGTAAAACAGCTGCTCATGAGAAAGTGAGTTAGGTTTGAGACTGAAGCCATAGTTAAATCAAGCAATCTGGTGGGAAACGGAAGGCTAACCTCTCTGTTGTGTGTGCTGTAAAGAAATGATGTTGGGATTATTGGAATTGTACTTTACTGTGTATTTTGAAATCCTTAAAATTTTGTGCGGTTTGGTTTCTTCTATTTTATCTTCATTTATTTTGCAAAACTTACTTCATTACTAAACCTGCATATGTGTGTTTCAGTGAAAGACCACCTCACTAAAACAAAACAAAACAACTATCCAGCTTGAGTCTGGGATCTGATTTATTCAGTAATAACCTCAGTTGGGATCATAGTAACATGAGGAAAATATCAGTGATATATTGCTTTGCCCATTGTTGCTAATAGTAGTTCCAAGTTAACAGCAACTTTCAAGAGCTGGAATCAAGAGGCATTTTGAGGTTACAGCTCTGAACACAACCAAAACACCAGGCAGCCCATCAGTAGAGAAGTCATACCATGTAGATGATTCAAACTGCTGTCACTGTACATCTGTTGTAGGGAGTGTATTTTGAAGGTTGTGGAAAGGGTGTCAATTAAGTGGGTTGCTTTGTCCCAAGTGATGTTGAGCTTCTTGAGCTGTTGGAACTGCACTCATCCAAGCAAAGAATGAGTATTCTATCACGCTCCTAATTTGTACAAAAACAGAAGTTGCTGGAAAAGCTCAGCAGGTCTGGCAGCATCTGTGAAGAAAAAAAATCAGAGTTAACGTTTCGGGTCTGGTGACCCTTCCTCAGAACTGGCATTGAGGAATCAGGAGGCAAGTTATTCACCACAGAATTTCCAGCCTCTGACCTGCCCTTGAACTACAATATTTATATGACTGGTGCAGTTCAGTTTCTGGTCAACAGTAACACCAAGGATGTTAATAGTGGAGGATTCAGAGAAGGTAATGTCAGGATTAGGTGGTTAAATTCTCTTCTGTTGAAAAGTGTCACTGGTTAGCATTCGTGTGGCATGAATGTAATTTGCCACTTGTCACCCTCTGCCTGATATTGTCCAGGTCTTGCTGCATTTGAACATGGGCTGCCTCAGTATCTGAGGAGTTGTGAATGGTGCTGAACATGGTACATCAGTGAACATCCTGACTTCTGACCTTATGTTGGCAGCAAGGTCATTGATGAAGCAGTTGAAGGTGGTTGGGCTTGAGACAGTATCCTGCAGTGATGTCCTGGGGTAGAAATGTTGGTCTCAAACAAAAGATAACCACCTTCCTTTGTGCTAGGTATGATTCCAACCAGAGAGATTTTTATGAATCCCATTGAGTCTAGTTTTGTCAGAGCTTCTGATACCATACGCAATCAAATGTTGCCTTGATGTCAATAGTAGTCATCCCTCTTAACCATCTGGAGTTCAGTCCTATTGCCCACATTTGGACCAAGGCTGTATTTAGATCATGAGGTAAATGGCTCTGGTGGCACCCAAACTGATGGCCAATGAGCAGGTAATTGCCAAGGAAGTGCCACTTAATGGCACCATTGTGACATCCTCCAAAACTTTGCCTATAGTCAAGAGTAGACTGATGGAATAGTAATTGGTTGGGTGGAATTTGTCCTGCTTTTTCTGGTCAGGATATAGCTTGACAACTTGTCACATTGCAGGATAGATGCCAATATTGTCATTGTTGTAACTAAACTAGAACAGCTTAATTAATTCTGGATGCAAGTCTTATTATGGGAAAGTTGTCAAGGTCCATAGTCTTTGCAATGTCGAGTGTTGTCACTTGTTTTTGATATCAGGTAGACTGAATTAAATTGACTAAAGACTGTCATCTGTGATGCTGGGAACTTCCAGAGGAGGCTGAGATGGATCATCGCTTGACACCTCTGTCTGAAGATGGTCGCAAATGCTTTAGCCTAGTCTTTTGCACTGATGTGCTGTGCTCATTGATGATGAGGATATTTGCAGAATCTTCCCCTGTTGTTTCATCCAGTTAAAACCTCTTTTTAGGTATGCCTGATACTGCTTCTGGCACGCCATCCTATACTCTTTAATGAACTAAGGCCGGTCTCTTGACTTTTTGGTAAAGGTAGAGCGGGGGATATGCTAAGCCAAGAGGTTTCAGATTCTGTTGGAGTACAATTCTACTGCAACTGATGGCCCACAGTGCCTCTTGGATGCTTAGTTTTCGTTGCTTTATCTGTTTGAAGTTTTTCCAATTCAGCATGGTGGCAGTGCCACAAATAACATGTATCCTTAATGTGAAGACAAGGCTTGGCCTCCAAAAGGATTATGACAGGTATAAATGCTGTCATGAACAGATGTATCTGTGACATACAGTTTGGGGAGGATGAGGCCAGGTATGATTTTCTGTCTCGTTGGTTTCCACATCATCTGCTGCAAACCCAAACTGGCAGCTGTCTGTTAAGACTTGGCCAGTTTGTCAGTCACAGTGTTACTGAGCCACCCTCAGTGGTCAGCAATGAAGTTTCCCCAGCCAAGATACATTCTGTGCCCTTGCCACCTTCAGTGTTTCCTCGAAAATCTGTTTAATATGGAGGAGAACTGATTCATTAGTTGGGGATTGGAGCAGCGAGTGATATCAGCCCCTTTTGACTTGATATTTTGAGACGACATGGTGTCCAAGTCAATATTGAGGACTCACAGGGCTACTTCCTCACCTCTATTTCCCAACCACTGGTGGGCGTGGTCTATGGAATTTTTGTTTTATTATGAGAACTGACACTGGCTAGATTTTATTTACCAAATTTAAATTCCACCAGCCGCCTTGGTGGAAACTTGATGAATCTCTAGCCATAATCTTCCTCTTCTCCTTGGATATAGGGTAGGGTGTCGTAAGACTGGAGAATTGCAAATGTGACACCCTCCTTCAATAGAAGGTATAAGGATAAATTTAGTACTACAAGTCAGTCAGGATTGATTGATGAAGCTGGGACTGTTCTCCTTAAAGAAGATTGAGAAGAGATTTGATAGAGGTGTTCAAAATTATGAGTGTTATAGACAGAGCAGATATGTAGACTGATGCAGAGAACACCAATTCGAGATGATTAGCCAAAACCATGAGGTAAAACTTAGTTAGGCAGGTGGTTAGGACAGGGTGATAGAGGCAGATTCAATTGTGGTTTTCAAAAGAGAATTGGATAATTATCAGAAGAAAAAGCACAGGGTTACAGGGAAAAGGCAGGGCAGTGGAACCAAGTGAGTTACAATTAGACAGCCAGCACAGAAACGACAGGCCTTCTTCTGCGCTGCGCACATTGTACAACTCATTCTGGTACCAGACTTATCAATACAGCACAGCGCTCTAAGTTGAACCAGATTAAAGTACAAATCCAAAGTAAACATCCAGTTATTTAAGTCATCAATTCTATCTGCAGTTACTGCAACACACCCATAATTGATAGCAGGGAAAGAAAAAGTAATCTTTGCAAGTTTGCTATTTAACTGGTAATCTCATTCTGAGGCCAGAAGAATGGCTGGCGGAGTGCAAATGAATTTTATAATGGTGCTCTGAAATTGAAGTTAATACGTTTTGTAAAATTAGTAGAAAGGAGCTCGAGTTTGCATCTGTCCTAATTTATGTCTTTCTCAGGGTGTAACAGATGTTCCATCCTACACCTTGATGTGTTGAAAATTCCCAAAGTTAAAATGAAAATTCAAAGCTTTAACTCAAACAACGTATAGTTTCAGTTCTCCCCTCACTTTGCAAGGCAATTCAACCATTAACTGTTTGATGAAATTCTCTCCACAATATTTGCTAACCAAAACAAGTCGACTTATTGCTTCTTCTAAACTTGAAAAACTAGTCTTTGTAGGTTTTTTTTTTAAAGAGTCTTACTAATTTCTTGGATCTGCTTTGCAGGCATTTATTATGGTCCAAATATGGTCCTAGGATGTTTTATTCAGATATTAACTGCAATGTTTAATCACCAGCCATGGTATCAAACATCTTCTTCGAGAATTTGAGAGAAATGCTGTGCTCTGAGTAGACAGGACAGGGACTTCAGCAATTCCATAAAATGAACTAATCACGTTGCTGTGGTCACTTGCCAGTACAGACTAAGCACCCAACAGCATAAGTGATCTGGTTCTGTTAAAATTATATCAGTTCTTTAACTTTAGAGATTCCTTTTGCTGACCATTTCATGTTTTTGGATAAATGGAACAGGCTGGGATCCAAAAAGAAGCTTCCAATCCAAATACAGATAGTTGGTAAATATGAACGTAACATATCCGTCTGACAAACCAGCTTGCAAACCTATCCAAAAGCATTAACAACAAAGAAAGGAAACAATCTTGGTGTTAACTTCTTATTCATCATATCCACCTTTAGGATCTGGCCCTAAGATCTACTTCACCATCCAATTATAAGAGCCTTAGGAGAGACACACTGAAGTAATCTTATTCTGATGCCAAATGGATGTGCAATCAGTGCTCATATTCTAATACAAAAATGGCAGGATCATTCAAAGATTCTGCAAAACAGGTGAGTCTGGGAAATTGAAAACTATCACATTGAACATACAAACAAGGGCCGTGTGGCCCTTTGAGCCTGCTTCACTGTTAAATAAGACCATGGCTGATTTGATTTTAACCTCAACTCTACATTCCTGCTAATCGTTCATCCTCTGTGGTAATCAAAAATCCATCTACCTGTGCCTTAAAAATATTTAAAGAATCTGCATCACTCCCATTTGAAGAAAGGAATTCCAAATTCCTCAATAAACAAAAATGTTTCTTTATCTGTTTTAAATTGGCACTCTCTTATTTTTAAACTGTGACCGTTATGTATAGATTCTCCTACAAAAGTAAACATCCATTTGACATCCACCCTGTCAATTCCCTTCAGGATCTTGTATGTTTCAATTAAGCTGTATCTGACTGTTCTAAACTCTGGAGGATACAGGCCTAACCTGTGGGATAGCAAATAATAAACTAATAATAGACTAATCTGCACCAACAACTGATTTTGCATTTATGTAACTTTTGATGTGCAGTAGTTTAAGTGCCAAAAAGATAAACAATGAGAATATTCACTTTGTTAAACCAAACATATTTACATTGGAACCCAACCTGATCTCTGTAGATGGAGAAGTAATCCTGTGATCCATTCTCAGTGTGGGGATTAGGCATCAAGCACATGTTCCGGATGCAAGTCTTCCATTTCAATTGCTTTCGGTCAGACTCTGAGTTCAGTCGTCTTTGAAGGCGTACAGTTAAGAATGCGGTGTAATAATTCTTAAATGTAATTGACTGAAGCTGGTCAATGAAGAGTAATATATTAGTGTTGAGTCAGCTGAATGACAAGTTCTTCCAATAAAGGAGATAAACATACAGGAAAAAATTAATAAAAACAACTCAATAAATGAAAAATATAATCATAGAAAACTCACACACAGAAAAAGGCCATTCAGCCCATTGTTTCTGCTCCGGCTGAATAAACTAGCTGCCCAGCCTAATCTTATTTATCAGCAATTGGTCTGTTGCCTCGGAGGTTACAGTACTTCTGGTGTAGATCCAGGTACCTTTAAATGACTTAAGGGTTTCCGCCCCAACCACCAATCTTGGCAGCAAATGCCAGATACGTACAACCCTCTGAGTGAAAAGGTTTTTCAAGTCCCCTCTAATCCTTCTACCAACACTTTAAATCTGTGTCCCCTGGTAAGTGACCTCTCTTCTAGGGCAAGCTGGTCTCCCCTGTCCACTCCATCCAAGCCCCTTATTATTATATACATGTCAATTAAATCACTCCCTCATCCACTTCTATTCTAAGGAAAATAACCCCAGCCTTTCCAATCTTACTTGCAATTTTCAAGCCTTGGCTACATTCTTGTAAATCTCCTCTGTACTCTCTATGAAGCAATTATGTCCTTCCTGTAATGTGGTGGCCAGAAACCATACAGAAAATTCTAGCTTTGGCCTATTCAGTGTCTTCTATAGTTCCAGCATTACATCCAATACCACGGTCAATGAATAAAAGCATCCCATATGCCTTCTTAACCACCTTATCTACCTGTCCTTCCACCTTCAGGGATCTGAGGTCATGCATCCAAGGTCTCTCACTTCTTCTATCCCTCTTAATTCCCATATTCCCCTGTAACAGTGGACTTTTAATTTTTTGGGACTTTGTCAAATGCCTTACAAATAACCTATATAGGGAACACCCAGTGCACTACCCTTGTCAATCCTCCTTGTTACTTCCTCAAAAGATTCAAGTTAGCTTATAAGAAACAAATTTTCCTTCATAAAACCATGCTGACTATCCCTGATTAATCCATGGCTTTCCAAGTAACAGTTAATCCTATTTCTTGTATTGATTCTAGTAATGTGCCCACCATCAAGGTCAAACTGACTGGCCTATAATTATTTGGCCCACCCCTCATAACCTTCTCGAATAATGGTACAATATGCGCAGATCTTTCCAGCCAATTCTTTTATCATGTCCTTTATTTTCCTAATTTCCTTTTCACTTTACCTCTGTACTTTCTACGCTTCTCTACATCTCCTAAAGTATTACTTACTGAGATTGTCATAAACTCTATTATTCTGATTTATCTTACGTTGCATGCATTTTTTTTATTCGTTCTTGAGATATGGGTGTCACTGGCTAGGCCAGCATTTATTGCCCATAGGGCAGTTAAGAGTCAACAACACTGCTGTGGGTCTACAGTCACATGTAGGCTGGGCCAGGGTAAAGATGGCAGTTTCATTCTCTAAAGGACATCAGTGAACCAGATGGGTTTTTCTGACAACCGACAATAGTCTCATGGGCATCATTAGACTCCTAATTCCAGATTTTTATTGAACTCAAATTCCACCATCTGCCATGGCGGGATTCAAACCCAGGCCCCCAGAAAATTACCTGAATCTCTGGATTAACAGTCTTGTGATAATACCACTAGGCCATCAACTCCTCTAGATGACCAGGGGGCTCTAGATTTGGCAATACCACCTATTTTCTTTGTACGGACAGGACTTCAATGTGCCCCAGAATCTTGGCATTTGAATGCCTCCACTGAATTGTCACTGGCTTTCAAGTAGCCTTCAAGTCCACCTTGGGTCATATTATTTCTCAATTTTGTAAGATTTGCCTTCCTCCAATTTTGAACTTATTCTAACTTTGTCTATTTCCACAATAATGCTAATTCTAACTGTACAGCAAACTTTTTATTAATCGGCACCTAATGGATCACGAGTGTGCTGGTTGATCAAGAGGTCCACATATCAATATAAGAACACAACACTAAGTCATAGAAATGTAATGCAGTGGGTATACAATTCACAGTTATACTTTATTTACAGCATAAATAACTTTGCCTTAAATAATACTTACCAGCAGAGAGCCTTCTCACACACACCCTCAACTGACTACTTGGACATTGGGGAGATTGCGATAATACAGTAAACTTGTGGCATTTCAGAAATATAATTTTTGCCAATTTATTGAGAGTGTCGGATAGTCCACGGATGTTAATGGGAGTTCATAAGGTGCCAGTTAAAACAAAGTTTGCTGTATTATGATCACTATCTCCAAAGATAGTGATCCACTGCAACCACATCCACCTATTCAGTTTCATTTTCTAAAATTCTTCCTCAGAATTCCTGTTCTGAGAAAGGGTCACTGGACCCAAAATGTTAACTCTGTTTTCTCCTTCACAGATGTTGCCAGACCTACTGAGCTTTTCCAGCAACTTTGTTTTTGTTCTTGATTTACAGCATCTGCAGTTCTTTTGCTTTTTATCAAGAATTGTGTTTCCTTTGTGCCCCTCACACAATTTGTATCCCAGTTGATATTTAGGTAGTTGAAGTCATTCTATTATTTCTGCAGTCAAATTTTCCTACATGTTTGCTTCTCTAACTCCCTGGCAATACTTGGGAGTCAAAAGTACATGCTCAACAATGTGTCTGCCCCTTCTTGTTTCACAGATCAACCCATACTGTCTCAACTGATGCTTAATTTTGAATAACATTTGTCCTCACAGCTGTAACTAAATCTTCAGTCAATAATGCTAGGCCCCACTTAGGGCTTTTGTGGTGCAGTGATAATATCCCTATCTCAAAGCCAGGAGACCCACCTGCTCCAGAGGTGTGTAATAACATCTTTGAACAGGTTATCTAGAAAATATCTGCTGTGCCTCTCTTCTAAACAAAAAAATCCCCTCCAGTACCCTGTCTTAAAATATCTAGGCACGTTGAGCTACCAGCCTGGTGTCTCTAAACCAAATTTCCATTATAGCAATGATATGCTGCTGCATATCTATTTGCATCCCCATCTCCTCGGATTTATTTGCTTTACTCCTTGCTTTTCAGATATACGTATTCATACTGCCAAATTCCTGTGCTGTATATTTTATAATGTCTGCTTCCTCTGTCTTTCAGTGTCACTCACTAATTTTCTGCCTCTGGATTCCCTGCTCTGCATTTGCCCCCAGATTCCCATCTTTCTTGTTTGGCTTGCACAGATCCACCTTTTCCAAACAGGTCTCAACGTCCCAGAAATCTGATGCCCAACCTCCTACATCAGATTTCCAAATTTGGAATGGTTTAAGATTCTTTAATTTTCACAAATGAAAAGGACATAACAAAATTAATTTGGTAAACAATGGATTTACTCCACCTGCAGCAACACGTTAGCAGAATCTCTTCAGACCAGCAATCAATGTTGCATTGCTGTTTTTTCATCTATCTTTTTCCCTTGAATTTATGCTGTGCATTCCTGTGTCCAAGTTCTAATGCTAGAGGCTTATGAAATCTACAGTGAAGATTCAGTCCAGCTGAATTGTTGTAATGTAGGGATCATTGGGGGAAACCGAGCCATCGTTTTAATATCATCAACTGCAGCATTTCAGTAAGTAAACAAATGTAAACGGTCTCAAAATCTCACTGAAGAGTTACAGGGAGACGGTAAGTGTTCAAGATAAATGTGTTGGGTGGGTGTTAGGTAAATGGGTGAAGAGTTGGAAATGGGGTATTCAGAAATCTGATGGTGGGGAAGAGCGGTCAAGAGCGAGTCAGGTGGTTGTCAATTTTATAGTTACCCAGAAGTTAGAGCAGATTTTAATCCCTCCAACATTTCCTGGGTAACAATCCAGGTAAGTAGAAGTCTCCACCTTAACTCCGAATTGGAGAATTTATTGGAGGCTTCCAGATGGATGTTAATTGCCTTTCAGAAGTTTAAACTTGCTGGACAATTCCTGTGTAGTTGGTGTGTTGGAACTCCTGAGCATGCGCACAGCACATTATTCAAGGTATGTTGCTGCAGCATCTATAATCTAAGCAAATGATCTGGGCTGTGAACTGAGACTTACATTATACAATTCAACCAGATTACAAACTGCTCAGTTGCCTGGATGGCTGATTTGTGATGCAAGATGACACCAATGGCGTGGGTTAAATTCCTACACTAACCGAGGTTGCCATAAGGTCTCTCCTTCTCAACCTCTCTCTTTGCCTGAGACTTGGTAAACCTTAAATTAAAGCACTCATCATTCTCTAATGAGAGAGCAGCTCAGTTGGCTGATGGCTGGTTTGCAACGCAGAATGATGCCAGTAGCATGGGTTCAATACTGGCTGAGGTTACCATGAAGGCCCTACTTCCTCAACTTTGCCTGAGATGTGCTGACCGTCAGGTTAAATTCACACCAACTTTCTCTTTCTAACAAGAGAGCAGCTTCTGGGACTGTGGTGACTTTAATTAATTTTCCAGTCAAGGATCTATTCACCTGTTTTAAAAATGTTTAACCTCACTGCCTTCACCTTGCTCTGGGGAAGAGTTCCACAGATTCATGATCCTGAACAAAATTCTCTTTATGTCCATCCTAAATGGGTGACCTCTTATTTTTAAACTGTATCCCCTAGATGAAGCCCCTCCCACAAGGGAGAACATCTTTTCAGAAAAAAATGGCTTCACCCATTGGCAACAATGTGATACACGGTGTACTTCCATTTTAGGGGAAGCTAGACATGCATATGACGAAGAATGAAAAAGAAGGTTACAGCAATAGGTTTAGGTAAGGAAAGACTGAAGGGTGCCTAATTAGAATATAAACAACAGCCTGGACTTTTGCGTGAAATGCCCTGTTTCTGTGCTAGTGAACCTGTGTCGTTCTACATTCATTTTGTAATGTTTCTACAGACTAATGTACACCAAGCAGCCATGCTGGAGAAAAAAAAATTGAATATTTTTTGCCTCAAATTTACACGAATAATCAATCTTTTTCCGCTTCCTCCAAACATTCCTGCCCCTCCACCTTTCTGAATTCTCTGCTCCTTTGCATCTGGCCTTTCATGCATTGTCCATACTTTTGCCCAATAGCTGTTGTCAAATTACCTCTCTAAACTATTCAGTCTGTTTTTCAAAATACTCTAAAGCTTACTTCCTCCCAAGCATGTGCTATTTCTTTAATTTATCTAGATATCTGCTTAGCCGTCACAACCTGAAATCGGACATTTAATGCAATATGTTGCTTGTATAAATTAATATGTAGTAATATTTCCATTTTCAGTTTTGTCCATTAATAATTGTTTGAAAAGTAAAAGACTCACGTACATTTACGATTCTTTCCCTTGGAAAAGTCACCTCAATTACATACACTCCAGGTTTTGCCAAGTCTGTTCTCACATCGCCAGTCTGTAGTGCAATTGGGCTTTTGATTATACATGCAATACTTTCATCTGCCATTTTAGCTGTGTGCATAGAACAAGAGATTGGTGTTAGATGAAGCCAAATGAGATTTGTGAAATAATGGAAGATTGACATTATAATGAAAGATTGACATTACAATTGGATAGCGTCTAATGATTTCAAATTACTTAAATTAGAACAAACTCATAATTAGAATTTGAAGCCTCTAGCCTTTTATGAAAGATTATCCAATATTATATCTACATTAGAGACAAAAAAAATTGCAGATACTAGAATCCAAAGTAGACAGACAGGAGGCCAGAAGAACACAGCAGGGCCTGCAGTATCTGGAGGAAAGGAGCAGTCAACGTTTCAGGTATTACCTTTCTTCAGGACTGGATGTGGGGGTAGGTGGAGCTGCAGATAAAGTCGGGGGGGAAGGGGTGGAGGTGGAATGGTGGTGATAGATGGACACTGGCAGTAGGTACAACCTGGTTGGTAAATGGGAGGGATGAATTGGTTGGTGACTGGGAAGATCAGAAGGTGGAATGGAAGGGAGGTGGTGGGACTGGAAGTGGGGGTGAAATGGGTGACAAGGTTATTTGAAATTGGAGAACTGACTGTTGAGTCCTCTGGGCTGAAAGTGCCCAGGCAGAAGGTGCTGTTCTTCAAATTTGCATTCCAAGTTGCTGCGACACTGGAGGAGGCCGAGGATGGACATGTCGGAGGGGGAGTGGGACGGGGAGTTGAAATGGGCGGTGACCGGGAAGTTAGTTTGGCCATTACGGGCCAGATGGAGATGCTCGGCAAAACAGTCACCCAGTCTATGTTTGGTCTCACCAATGTAGAAAAGACCACATCAGGAACACTGAATGCAATAGACCAGGTTGGAGGAGATGCAGGTGAAGCTCTGACTCACTTGGAAGGGCTGTTTAGGGCTGGATGGAGGCAGGGGAGGTGGTGTGTGGGCAGGTGTTGCATAATCAGAATAACTAGCAAAATTCATGGAAACAGAAACAGAACTAATGTAATGACCCTACATCAGAAATGTGATAAAGTAGAAACGTAATAGTTTTAAAGTAAGGAGCAGGTTGGTGCTATGTCTTCCATAATAAACCATTCTTTTTGTTCTACTTCCCACCCTTACCTGCTTAAAACCTATCACTTTTCTAATTTTCCCAGTTACAATGAGAAATCATCAACCTGAAACGTTTAACTCCATTTCTCTCTTGACAAAAAGAATTCCAGCTAAGTATCTCCAGCATTTTCTGTTTCTCTATTTTAAACAGAAATATTTCCTTTCTGTCTTTAGGTCACTCCCAGATTTGCTTGACCCTTGTGCACTTTAGTCAGATCTTTGGACAGCAGTAGCAGGCACAAAGGGAAAGGGAAAATCAGGAGATGTCGAGGGAATAACGATACAGCCATCATCTTGTCTGTGGGCTGTAGGTGCAGAAAATATTATGCAGAGCTGTGATGCCTTATGTCTGAAGAACGACTGCACCGCAAGTACAATCTAGTTTATAAACACCATTCACGAAGCAGGGCTTGCACCCCTAATATTCTATCACATGATCCACAACGAACCTGAATAACTTGTATCATGCATTTAAAATGTACGTTATTTGATGAAACAAAAGAAAATGAGAGGGGGACTGGCTTTACATTGTTGGGATTGGGATTAGTGGAGGAAATGAGCTTTAGCGTTCAAAGTAATCATGCTCCTTCGTACAACAGTTTGGTAGGAATGGTCTAAGTATTTAATATCTCACATTGTCATAATGTTTCTGCTTGTGCTTTAGTTGGTTCCATCAACAATTATAAAAATAACGTTCAAAGCTTTTGAATGGAAATAATCGAAAAATGGGTCTTAAAGATTTGAAATGACGGGGTTGTGACTATTCCTTTGGCAGCTTGTTCTGTTATGAGGTTGTCCTTGGGAAGGAAGATTGTTGATATGTCACCTTTGAAAGGTGGATGACTGCATTTACATTGTTTTGTCATTGCTGGAGTGTACCAGGTACTGTTTCTGTCAATTCCCAACAGGCTATTCCATATTTTATATTACATAGTCAATTTTTCTCCCTTCTTTGGAGTGATTCCCATTCAAAATCTTCTCACAAAAAGGTGAAACAGAGGTGTATGTCCCTTACTGAATTGCACAGCACATTCTTGCATCAGCTTTATTTATTTTTAACCTATGATAGGTTTATTGGAAGCAAGAGGGTATCTGGAAGGATGGCTCCTCAGAGTTCTAGGCACTTTTAGCGTTGGTTAAAAACAACTTTATGGCAGATACACACAAAGGCAGATAGAAGCTATGCCAAGCTCAATAATCATTTGAAATATTGCAAAACACGTTGACATAGTATTATTTATCTATATGGATAGTTTATAGAGCACTCAACGTCTCCTGGATCTGCCAACTGTCGTCATTTTGCTGCAGAAACCCAATCATTGCAGTGGAAAAGAAGACGGCGTACAATTAAGTTTTACAAGAAGGGAGCCAATGCCACTAACGTTTCTGGAATTACTAAATACTATACTGCAGACTACACTTCAGGCTCTGTTCATCCATATCTGATTGGTGGATTCCTCCAGATTATTTCTCTTTCTATCAACGCCTTCACAGTGATATCGTGAGTAATACTGAAGGCTTGGAAATTTTGGGTACAGTTCGGTCTAGTGATACTTTATGGACAGCAAAAGCCTAACTGTGAAAAGACAAAATAAATATGCCACACATGCCTCATCAGATTTTAACAGGACAGGTTGTAAAGTGAGTGTAAAGGTGTCTAAGAGGTTAACCACATGCGACTGAACATTTTAGTGGTGTGTGATTGCATAATGATCCAATCAAAAGATTTTCTGGCTTGCTACTGACTGAAGAGAAAGTATTTTCTCTTTGTTTGAATCTACAATGTACATTTATATAAACAGACTTTTAATATAGATAAAACGTACATTATTCTCTCATTTTCAAAAGGAAATTCAAAACGTCGACAATGTAGATGCTAATGTAGATGCTCATGCAGAACTGATTTTCAGACTTTGAGCACATATAGGAGATAGGAAGAACTGTAGATGCTGTTGTCAGGGTCAATAGTGTGGAGACGGAGGAACACAGCAGGTCAGGCAGCATCAGAGGAGGAGAGTCGATGTTTCGGGTCAGGACCCTCCATCAGGGCCCATCCTTGGAAGAGGCTTCGCAGCAGGATTTTAAGTCACTCGGACATAGCAATTGCAGTTGCTGGAGTCAGAGTCAATATAATGTGGAGC